TTTTCGGAACCAGCTATAAATAACATTATATAAATTTTGTCTGTTATAGCGGATCCGTCGATTTACCGGACAGCATGTCAGGAACGGGGGGGGGGGGGTCCGTTATATCTACTTTCACTGTGTACGTATAACTGAGCAATGTTGTCACTTGGACGTGAATTCAGCAATTTGATTGGTCAGGACGCTTGTCCCAACCAATCAAATTGCTGAATTCACGTCCAAGCGACAACACTAGGGCCGTATAACGATAAGGTATCAATGATCAACGTTTGTGATGTTCTTTGTGCTCGGAAAATTTCAGAGTATTACACAACATAATTTCCGGAAAGTTATCAGAGGTCCGTTACTTATGACGAGGACTGTATATTTGAAGCAAAAATTTTGAAAATCCGTTAATGTGAATTAATTATTGATCCGTTATCGTTATAACGTGAGTCAGGTGTATTTTTTAAACGAATAAAGTATTTCGCATAATTTTCCAAGAATTTAGAAACGTAAACTTTTTTAATAGATAAGATACATTTTATATCATCGAATATATTGATATTAATATCCAAACTTAAGATTTAAACTTTCTAATTACCTCGTAACAAATTATAATAGTTAATTATGATTGACCTTTGTTACTTTTTGATTGATGAGTCATTTTTGGTTTCTCTTTTTTGCTCGGAGATAAAAGAAATAGAAAATAAATGTTATTGCTATTATACCTACTATAGTGACTACTGCTCCTAGTGGTTGGTTGAGACGACTGTGGTGTTGGCTTTTGCATTAGTATTGACGGTGACGGTGGTTTTGGAGTTCTAGTGAGATCAGCCACTTGAACCCATTTTAAAGCGCCACTAGAAATATCTAGAATATTAAATTCCGCGCTCGAATCATTGTTCCTTTTACCTTTAATTAAAGAATAAAAATTTAATTCGATCAATAAGAAAATTTCTTTCGATTAAATTATATTTATTAGAGATAATTTTACCGAACGCCACAAAAATATAATCATTAAAATAGGTTGCTGTTGCTTGAAACGGAATATAATCCGGTCTTTTTCCCTCGACATTCGGCTGTGTCAGTTTTGTTGTGGATAAGTCTAATATTACAATACCTCCATTTGTACTAATATATTAAAAAAAAATAATCAGATAATCTAGCAATAGCGATAAGAATAAATTCATTTTGGTTATCTGCTTACGTTTGATTTGCGTTATCGTTAAAATTATCACTCGTTTTTTATCTGCAGCTTTGGTTTATGAACATTACATCATTAGTTCTATCGTCTGATCTATAATCACGCTCTCGGGAAAAGTATGGGTATAAAGAGGATGCAAACCCATTGAATCAATTACCTAATATTGCAACATGTCCAACTCGACCAGCGACTGGTATGTCGGTTGTTGTATTCTATTTTTGGGAAATCATTTTAATATTTTTTCGAAGTAAGAAATAACATTGATGAAACTCACGATTCTTTCCCATTCACTGGTATTAATGTTAAAAACCGGTATCTAAATTCAATAGTTACCATGTTAATAATAAATTAGAACCATTAGTAAATTAGCATTGCTTTTATATCTAAATTAAATGGCATATATCTTTATAATTGCCACCGATATATAAAATTCTTTCATCATCTGACAAAATCGCAGCGTAACCCCAAATCATATCTGGTGCACTATTTGATTTCACTGTTGTCAATGTAGCATTATTAGAATCGAAAATATACATTGTGTTATCATTCCCTGTACCATCCCATCCTCCGAAAAAATATATTTTTCCTTGCTTATCGACAACTGGAGTTAGTCGTCCACGTGGTGATGGTGCGTTGGTGTTATCGAGTTGCTCAATTATGATTGGATTCGAGTCTATGCGAATTTTAATAAATGTATTTTTGAAATTTCCTTCTTTGGCTCCTTCCTAAAAGAGCGAAATTTTAGAATAATTACAAAATTTTTTCGTTTCATTTCATTTATCAATTATTTACCCCTCCGAATGCATAAATATTATTTTTCCAAGCAACTGAACCCGAAAGATAAGTTCCTTGAAAATTTCCTGTGTAATTCAGCAAAGAAAATTCTGGAGATTTACTCGAATTCGAGGCATAAAGATATTGCGGAGTAGGTGTAAGAGGCAAATCTAAATAAAATAGGTCACGGGAAATATTTCCATTCAAATCTTTTCCGCCGAAATAGTAAATTTTGTTTGTTATTAAGTCAGCATTATGGGCGAAACGAGGCAGGGGGTAAAGCTTGGGAAAGCTTCACTGCATTAACTAAGAAAAACAGAAGAAAACGAATTAACATTTTCAATTTAATTCAATTCGTAAACAAATCTCATGAGGTCTTTTATACATGAACATCAGATTTTACATGTACTTCTGATGCTCGAATTGTTTTACGTGTAACCGGGGGGGGTTAAACATCACATATCGGTGTACCATAGAACACTGCATACAGTATCCAGTAACTTGTCGCAACTTCTATTCATACTCAAAGTCTAAATGCATGAACCAAATTTTCTTCTTTGAGTCACTAAATACATGTACGATTAATAATTTGTTATCGTTGCAGGTAGGAGACCGGCCCAAAATAGGACTAGGAGTACGACTATAGTTAGAGTAAGGGTAAAGTTAGGCTGACAATAATATTAGTGTTGGCCGAAAGATTCTAAATCCCATTTTCTATACCGAATCACTTTGAGTTATAGTCACCATTTGAACTATAAAACAATATCAAATGGTGACTATAACTCTAATATAGAAGAGTTGACTGTACATAGTTTATATGTCTATAACACGTTAAATAAAAATATTAACGTTCATTTTTCATTCAAGAATAAACATAAGGTAACGGTAACAATGGATCATTGTTTATTTGTATCTTGCTTCTGATACATATTGACATAAGTGGATGTTCTATGAAGATATGATAAACCGATCAGAGATGTGTATGAGATTAATTGGCGCATGTAGTTTTACAAACCATTATATTCCCACCCCAAAATTTTACTGTATATTTCACGTGATGCTCTTTTAGTGGTTCATTATCACGTTTCCAGTCGTCCATCCAAATTAAATCATAAATTTTGATTCGTCGGACCAGATTACTTTGCTCCAGTCATCAGTTATCAGTTGTCCAGTGTTGATGTTTTTTTGCAAACTTCAAACGTTGAATCTGATGTGTTTTCTTGAGATATGGTTTCTTTCACTTAATTCGTGAAGAAAGACCATTACGATATACAGTTCACTTTATTGTGCTTGCGCTGACTTCGATTTTATCTTCAGATTTCAGTATTTTTTTTTGGATGGAAGCTGCAGTAGAACAATCATCATCTATATTTAATTCAATATTTCATTATTATTAATAAATAATACTGAATTTAAATCAAATACATTTTCAATTAATACAAATACATCTTGATTTGGAATTTCTATTTGTTCATATTCTTCTTTGACTTTATTACTTTCATTATTATTATCTTTAATTTCTTCCTCCATATTATTCATTAATTCTTCTATCATAATTTTTAATTCTTGTGCATTATAATTTTGATTTGTATATTTTACTTTTTTATTAATATTTATAATATAAAATGATCAAATTTTAGTTATTGCTTTGACTTTGTAGTAGATAATTGTAATCGATGTTTGCCATAAATCCAACTGAGAGTGGAAAATATATGTTCACATCCAGTACTATAAGATATAATACCTAATATTTGTAAAGTCAGTTATTGTAAATAGTCATATTTATTATCTGTAGCAAGTCATCAAATTTTAGATATATTAATTAATAAATTATATATTGTATTATAAGGTGTTATATTTAATTTATATAATCATATTTGATCAAATAATAATTTTTGATCTTTGCTGAGACAGCATCATATTTCTTTAGCAATATTTAAAATTAATAAATATTTGCTCTTTTATAATCCTATAATATAATATTTTAAAATTTATTTAAATAAAATAAAAATAATAAAAAATATATTATCACAATAAACAAGATATAAAAAATATATCAATAAATAAATTGATATATCAAACTCTTCTCATCTTTTATTAAAAGTCTGGATGATATGTTATCAGAATTGGTATTAATATTAACCAATTTTTTAAGTGTGTATCTTAACTGAATTATTTGAATAAAAATATTAGCTAGATTAATTTGTTCTCCTTCTATCATCAAAATAGCTGTTTAATTGGTTAAAGAATTTTTGATAAAATCATAACTTTATTATAAATATGCACTTTTTCAAATATTGTTTTATAATTTTATTTGTAATTTTATCAGATTTATTAAATGCTATCTTTAATTATAAAAATAAAAAAATTTAATTTTAATAAATAAAAATTATATCTCTTCTAATATATATTGCATTTATATAATTAAAAATATAACTTTATATATCAAAGTTCATTTTGTTTTAATAAATAATTTAAGTTTGTCTCCTTCAATTTTTAAATTTTTACTGCTTTAGTTAATAAATGATAACTAATATATAATTATTTAAAGAATTTTATAATATTATTACAAATTAAAAGTAAATTTATAATCTTTTTATGTTTTAATAATTAATAAAAATTAATAAAAATTAATATAAAAATATAATAATAAATATTATTTTTCAAGTATTTATTTATTGAGTATTGATTTTGTAATTAAATTGATAAAATGAGCAATATAATGCAAATTTAAAATTTGAGGATATTCTTTAATGATTAATTCACAAGCTAGTTTTATATTTGTTCTATTGTCGATAATAATTGCTTTAAATTTTTTCAGTTCAATCTTATTTAAGATTGTTTTTATTTTATTAGTTAGGAACTTTTCAGTATAATATGATACTGAAAAATCATGAAGATAATATAAATATTGATATTGTTCAGGTATCAAAATAATAAAATTATATATTGAAATAGTATTTGTTGTTATCCAATCATCTAAAACTATAAAAAATTAAATTTAAAATAAAATTAAATTATATGTTAATAAAATAACTTATTGAGAGTTAAATTTCTGCATTTCTAGTTTTTTATTTATTTCTTGATTTATATGAGTAATGTCTTGATTCAAAAGTTGATCAGCAAGTAATTTATATGAAGGTGAATTATAATTTGATCATAATTAATAAAGAAGTTCTCAGAAAAAGAGATTATTAATAATGATAAATGAGATATCACAACAAATAAAAGCTTTAATAAGAGCTTTATTAATAATATTTATTTTGGATTTAGGTAGATTTCAGTTTTTATAAAAATTATCAATTCCTAATTGTATTTCTGTTTTTTATTTTTTATTTGGTGTGGTTTTTTCTGAAGTTGATGTATCTTTAACAATAATAAATTCAAGATAATATGTTTGAATAATTTTTGAACAAGTATTACATTTATTTGCAAGATGAAATTGAAAAATATGAACAAAACTCTGATTTTATTTTTTATTACAAAATTTACATTCTGCAAAAAAATGATCAGGTAATGATTTCAAAGAAACTTTAATAAAATATTTCCAAACATTATTAGATTTATGATCAGATTTATATTTTTTTTGAAAATAGAGTCTTGTTCACTTGTCATAATAATATTAAAAGATGATAGATAATCATTAAAGAATAAATAATTATTAAAAAATAAATAATCATAAAATAATAATATATATATATAGTAATAAATAGATAATTAATAAATATAATTAATAAATATAATTTAATTAGTTATTATTTATCAATTTGATAATTCAATTTTAATATCAAAATTATTTTAGTTTTAATTTGTTAATTTGACAATTTGGTTTTTAAAATATTAATAGTGAAATTATTTTAGTTTTGACAAAACTAAAATAATTCAGTTTCAGTAATCATCTTTAGTATTAATAAGAAATTTATATATTTTATTATTATTTTTGATTCAAATAAAGTTAATTATTCATGAAATATTTTTAATTGTGCACTGTTAATTGATTTCTTGAATACTTATTTTTTTTGATTTTACAATTTATATATTTTATTTTGATAGATTTCATATATATAATATTATTATTTTTTTTATTGAGATTTAAACTTGTTTTCATATTCAACATGTCATTTCATATTGTAGACTAGAACTTTAATTTTAATCAATCAAAATTTATTTATTAACAATCTCATAATTTTCAATATTTTGATTAATTTAATAAAATAATATATATATATTATTAAGTATTCATTTCTTTATAAATAATAATAGTGCAATAGTTATTTTAGATTATATAAAATATTGAGATTTAGTAAATTTTAAGTATTTTAAATATTATTCTTGAATTTAAAGTAATAATTTTTCTAATATTTATAACTTTGCTTAAATCTTAATATACATCATTCTTCTTATTTTAAAAAATAATTATAAATATTATTATAATCTTTATTACATTTGCTTAATTTACTAGAGAAAGAAAATAGTAATAAAAAAAGTAAAATTATTGAAATTTGAAGAAAAAATAGTGAAATAAAACAGTAAGTATTCTGTTATTCAAAAATAAAGATTCTATACAATAAGTAATAAAATATAATATTACTAAATTATTATTTGCTCTTTGAATATTCTTGAAAGAATTAACCAATATAATTTTATTTGCTTAATCTAATATATTAGTATTTGTTATTGAGAAAAAAACTACTATAAGAATATTTATAATATTGAGAATTAAAATAATAAATAATATTTAACTATTAGAAATATTTGTATTGTTATAATATAATATAAATATTATAATAATAAGATAAAGCTAAAGAAAAAAAAATATATTTATACAAGTAAAAATATATAGTTAATAACTGTCTTGTATAGCTTTCTAATTTTTAGTTTTTTATATGATAAATTATTACTCTCAAATTATTAATATAGATAATTAATAATTATTTTTGAGTTTAATCTCTAATGCTACAAAAATCTTTTATATAATGAATGCTATAGCTGTCTCATTTTGCTCTTTCTCATTTATTTTCATATTTCAGCCTGTAGATCTTCTTGCTGATACATATCTTTATAATTTTTTTAGATTTTGCCTTCTGAAGATGTTTTAGGTATTATTTTTGTTTAGTTAATCATGGCATTGTGCTTTGAAGAAATCAAAATGAATTGTGAGAAAAAATAAAACCAGAAATTAAAAAAAAGAGATATCTGAACTAAAATAAACTAAAGGAAAAAATCGAACAATTAAGAGTTAAAAGAACATAACTAATGTGATGGTAGCCTATTCACACACACACACACACACACACACACACACACACCCTCACCCAGCCTAACAATAATTGTTCTATATATATATATATATATATATATGAGCCACAAATATGTCACGTGATTTTTTTTGATTGGTTGCCATGAATGACTTGATTCTGCCACGTGGCTTATAACCAGTCTCAAATCAATGATGATATATGAAAAGTAACAAACTTTGCATTACTACTACTATATGAAAATTAAAAAAAATTTGAAATTGGCTTTCATAAACTGGAAGCTAATAATCTATTCTATTAATTTATGAAGAGTTATTATATATATGTTAAAAGTGTGAAAAGATTTAAAATTAATTAAAATTTTATTGATGTGACTAGATTGTATGCATCGTATGCTTTTGAAAAATATAAAAAAATTGATTTCAAATATTCATTAGGGTGTATAACTATAAATATAAATATAAATATAGAAAGGTTTGACTGTATTTTTTTTGATTTATGTGGAATATTATTAATTTATTAACCAAATTTAAAAATATATATAACATATATAATTATGTGTATAAATTATACATTAAAAGCAAATTTCATCAAAAATTGGTTTAAACTATTTTCAAAGACAAGAATTTCTCCTGACCTGCAAAATTCCGATCATGCAGTGATATCACATGATCTTGCCAATCCAATATCTAATAAATTTCAATTTGACGCATCAAAATAAAATTATAATTTTATTCTCATTTTTAGAGAATTCCTCTGTACGTATTACAATGGTTATTTTTTAAAAAGATCTCTTTGTATCGCTATATACAGTAACGGTAAACGTACGTATTTTCATAGTAGATTATCGTTATGCATTTAGTCAACTGCAGTTAAATAAAATTAAGTAAATCGTCTCACTCATACGTACCCTCGACATACTGACGTGCAGATTCTATCGTAAACAATATCGATATCGATATCGATATCGATATAAATTCGAGAATACGAATTCAATTAGACTGAAAATGAATTTATCAATTTCTCTCGTATCCCGTTTATTTCGTTTGTTGTTTTTATTTAACGCGGTGAATGTTCTCCAAGCTTTTATCCCATTGCCTCGATTTGGTCACAACGCTAACTTAATAAATAATAAAATTTACTATTTTGGCGGAAAAGACTCGAATGGAAATGTTTCTCACGACCTTTTTTATTTGGACTTGACTCTTACGTCTACTCCGCAATATCTTTATGCCTCGAATTCGAGTAAATCTCCAGAATTTTCTTTGCTAAACTACACAGGAGATTTTCAGGGGACTTATCTTTCGGGTTCAACTGCTTGGAAAAATTCTATTTATGCATTCGGAGGGGTAATAATTGATAAATAAAATAAAATGAAAAATTTTGTAATTATTCTAAAATTTCGCTCTTTTAGGAAGGAGCCAAAGAAGGAGATTTCAAAAATACATTTATTAAAATTCGCATAGACTCGAATCCAATCATCATTGAGCAACTCGATAACACCAACGCACCATCACCACGTGGACGACTAACTCCAGTTGTCGATAAGCAAGGAAAAATATATTTTTTCGGAGGATGGGATGGTACAGGGAGTGATAATACAATGTATATTTTTGATTCTAATAGTGCTACATGGACAACAGTAAAATCAGATAGTGCACCAGATATGATTTGGGGTTACGCTGCGATTTTGACAGATGATGAAAGAATTTTATATATTGGTGGAAATCATCATGATAAAATAAGATATATGCCATTTGATTCCGTGAGTTTTATATACCTAAAAGGCGATGAATTTTTTTACTAATGCTAATGATTACAGTTTATTGTTAACATTGTATTATTGAATTTCAGATACCGGTTTTTAACATTAATACCAGTGACTGGGAAAGAATCGTGAGTGTATTAGTACATGTATTATTTCGAAAAATATTAAAAATGATTTTCTAAAAATAGAATACAACAGCTGACATACCGATCGCTGGTCGAGTTGCACATGTTGCGATATTAGGTGATTACGTAATTCTCTTAATAATTACATTTTTTTTACGTCCCGAGAGCATGGTTATAGAGATTTAACTAGATAGAATTTATAGGACTAATGACGTAATATTTGTGTCTATAAATGAACTAAAAGTTGCAGATAAAAAACGAGTAATAATTTACGGAGGAGAGAGAGATAGTTCAGATAAAACGTAAGTAGTATGATAAAGTAAATTTATTCTTATCGTTATTGTTATACATGTATTATCTAATTATTTTGTTTTATGTATTACATGCAGTACAAATGGAGGTATTGTGGTATTAGACCTGTCAACAAAAAAATTTACACAGCCGAATATCGAGGGAAAAAGACCGGATTATATTCCGTATCGAACAACAGCAACATATTTTAACGATTACATTTTTGTGGCATTCGGTAAAAAATCTAATTTAATTGAAAAGAAAGTTTGCTTATTGATCTAATTAAATTTATATTCTTTCAATCAAAGGTAACAGGAACAATATTCCAAGCGTCGAATTTAATATTCTTGACATTTATAATGGCACATTAAAATGGGTTCAAATGGCTAATCTTACTAGACCTCCTAGTAATGGACCTGACAATGGTGCTGGCAGTGTCGTTGACAAACCATCTGCAAACGTTGGCATTCTAATTATTTTGGCAATAGTATTTGGTATAGTATGTACGTTAACAATGGCATTTATTTTCTATTTATGTCACCACCAAGTGTCTTTAAGAAATATTTTTTGGCGTAGAAGAACGGAAGATTTTATGAACTAGAAATACCAATTTAGTACTTTTTTACTTAACCACTATTAATATATTAAATATAAAAGCTAGATTTGAGTTGAAAGATATTACATTAACATGTACATATTTTGAATTAAAAAATTTGTAAAAATTATGCGAGCGAACTCTCTTCTTATAATCATATGACATCGGACCAAAAAGTAACCCCCAAAACATATAAAAATTGAACTCTTCGAGCTATGTATATCTAAATTTTTAGATAATATAAAATTTTAGGCTATGGTGCAGGACATCTAATCACATTACAAAAAATAGATAATTTTAAACAATAATAATTAAAAATAATACTATTTATATTTGTTAAAATTTTTCATAATTTAATAATTAGTATAAAATTATGAAGATATAAAAAAATTAGTTTTCATAACGTTATTTTGACTTAAAGTTGAATAATTTAATAGTTTTCTAAATTCAGTGCCAGATTTTTTCCCGAGTCCCGGTTACTTATGGCACTACGTACTGCACAATCTCGTACATAACCATTCCAACCTATGAATATCCACAGACTCTGACTGATATAATTTCTTGATTAGAAATTTTTATATCTGCTGAATTGGTAAGCCCAAAATCGACAATGAAAAATATTTAATAAGATATTTGCAGGGTGAAAGTCACGATGCACTAATTTTTCTCAGCCCACTGATATTCGTAACTGGGTTTTTAGTATTAGATACAAGTTCATAGTACACTTTATAGCAGTCTGAATTTATTTTTAAACAATTTAATTGTACCTCGTTTATAAACTCTCGTGTGATTTGCTTTGCATTATAAACACAATTTTTTTGTCGTCTCCAGACCGTATAAATTTGATCTCACTTGATCTATTTAAAAGATTCAAAACGATAATGTTTATAGAAATTTCTATGCATTCTTTATTAGACAGACGACATCTTTATTCTCGCTAGACTAAGGTGAAGATATAATGACAATACATATAGAATTTTGCTTTAATGTAAACTCAAAATTTATATTCTATTAATAAACATATTAGTAAACGATGACAATTTCGCCAACCTTCATGATAAACAATTGAATAACTATTAGAAATGTTGATAAAAAGTAATGGTTAAAATAATAAAATATGAGTGTAAACACCAAGAGGTTGATAAACTTTTGGTGGTTGTGCTTTAACAAGCACAACATGGTTAATATCAATATCGAATATAAATTAATATTTACCAGTTTCATCTATTAATGAGCATATTGGCAGTGTTCCATCATGAAGTTGTTGTACTTGAAAGAAACTCGAAATTCCTTCATTCGCGTTATTTTCTATTTTGCAATCCAAAAGAAAAATAGTGATTAATTAATAAAGTCAATAGAAATAAAACAAGAATTTTACCTTCTTTTGGAATAAACAAACAGACACTTGTCAACCTTAAACATTCGATATGAATTTTAATTAATATGAAATGATATTGAAGAGCTGTAGTGTTGAAAATGGTTCCTGCTTCTCGATATGTAACGACAGGATATACCAGATAAAAGTATCAAGTTCCTCAGCAGTTGGTCTGTTTTCTGGAATAGGATCCCAATATTTTCAATAATAAATTCGAGTCCACCCTAGGGGATAGGAATCGATTAATAATTTCAATTAATCGATTTTGAGTTGAGAATCGATTCTCAACCCAAGTAGATCTGTTCTACCAAACATTTATTTGATCGATTTCGTTCATGTGTAATTAATGTTAAATTTCCCATATCTGAAAATAAACATTTATATGGCAGGAATTGCCAAATATTTGCGTGCAAGTTGTGAAAGAATTGGATATAGCGATAGGGATAGATTTTCAACCCAAGATCGGTTCTCAAGCACAAAGTACGACGATGGTAATGACGACGACAGCGATAACGACGATGACAGCGATTTCATAACTGGTCTTTGGTTTTGTTTTCATTGCATGTTGATTCTTTTTCCCTTTTCGTTGGAATAGTTGAAGTTGTACTTTGATTAGTTGAAATTATAATTTGATTAGTTGAATTCGTAGAAATACTACGTGGTATAGAAGCAATCGAAGTATTGTCATCAAATTGAGAAAGAGCAATTGAAGAAGAGAATTTGCAATAAAGTCTTAAAATAATAATCACTTACTTGTATACAATAAGTTCTTATCCTAATAATAATCCATTGTTGTAGAGAGGGTTTGCCAATTTTTAATCCAGAAAAAGTGAGACGATTACGATTTAAAGGGTTTGCCACTTTTGATCCAGAAAAAGTGAGATAATTGTTTAACAACCGTAACGATTGCGATTGGAAAGGTTTACGCTTTTGGTCCAGAAAAAGTGGTTGTGTTATTAACGCTTGTAAATACGTAGATGACAATTGAATACAACAATGTCCGAAGATATTTGATACGACTATAGAAAAATTAATAAATAATTTTAGCCTAAAATACTATACAGAGTGCTTACGGTATTGTGTAATGGTAACGATAATGCTCTGAAATTTTCCGTTCACAAACATCACAAACGGGGGGCTGCTCATTGATGTCTTTTATAGGCTAGTTGATAATCTACTTTCATATACTGTATCATCAAACTTCTATCCCTTACACAAGCGTTATGAAATCATTTTTTTTACATATCCATCCCGAAGGTCCAAAGCTTGCGGCCACTGCAAAGTAAATCGGTTGTGCTAAAGGTATAGTATTTAGCATAATCAAAAAATCGAATAAAACAAGATTTAAATAATGAGCCAAAATCGGGTCAGAAACGAATTACAACTCTAATCCAAGATAAAAAAAATAAGAGAGCTTGCAAAAAAGTAACTTCCACTGAAATACAACATAAAATGAAAAACTATAACGTTGACGTCAGTGTGGATAGTATTCAGCGACGTCTGCATGAAGCTGTGGCTAAATATACAAATCAGCTTTCCAAACCTCTACTTACAAGCATAAAAAAACAATTATTGTGGGCGAACAAGCGTAAGAACTTTGACTGGGATCGAGTAATTTTTCAGACGAGTGTACTTTTCACCTAAATAAGTGAGAAAGAAAGGTGTGGATGTGTCCTGGTAGGAAAAAAGTGTTCCATTCTGTGAAGCATCCATTAAACTTCGACTTCGGGCTTCGGTAAGTTGCTTCCAGAGGAATCTAAATGCTGAATTTATGGTTACACTATAGGGATGATGGTCTTCTGCCTTCCGTTGAGATACGTATTAATCTTGTTGAAAATTGTTTACTTATCATCGCTACTAGGCACTATCGTTATGGAGGAACACTTGCTTTAAAGCTCTCGTGTGTAGTAAATAGCATTAGAGAACTCTGTGGCGTAATTTTGGAGCAGAAAGCCATTTTTATACAGTTTTCTAAAAATTAAATATTGATTTATTATTAATTTTATCGTTATCATAATAATTTAAATTTATAAATTTAACCAATTTTTTCGCCAAAGGTAACTTTGACTCTGTTGGTTTGAACGCTGCCTATGATGTTTTCTGGGTAACAAGTGTCGCGTGTTCGATTCCGAGTGCTGCCTATGTACACTTCCAGAAATTGATGTCGCGTGGACAAACCCTGATTTTATTTTTTAAGGGAATAAATTTATTTTACTTCAGAATTGTAATTTCATTATATATACAGTGCAGGACACTTAAAGACGCCAATAAAATTAGTCATCTTTAAAGCAAAGGATTTTTATACAAAAAAAGGAGGCTGCTATTTTGTAGTAAATAGGTCTAGCTACAAAATATCGGTCCCTTTTTTTTGTATGACCTTTGTATAAAGATTTTTTGCTTTAAAGATGACTAATTTTATTGGCGTCTTTAAGTGTGGAATTAAGTTATTTGTTTATCAATTCGTTCCTGTATCATGTTGTAATTATTTAATAACAAAAAAAATGGTAAAACATCATATGACTCTAGAACAAAGAGCTGAAATTCTAGTTTCACTTCAAAATGAATATACTACAAGAAAAATAGCAAGTGTCTGGAATATTAGTGCTTCTATCATCTCTCATATTAATAAAAAATGACATGAACAGTGTACTTTAAATGATATAAGTAAATTTGATCACCCACGGTTATTAAATGACTGGTTAGAAAGAATAATAGTTCATTTTATTACTTCCTGTAACTGTTCTATCACTGTTACTATCCAAAATCATCTTTATGAAACTAAAAATATCAAAATTTTGAAGCATACTATTTATCATATACTTAAAAAAATGGTTTAGTAGCAAAAATAAAACAAAAAAACCATATCTAAAACCAGAACATCAACTTTATTATCTTGAATTTGCCAAAAAAAATCAAAATTGAACTCATAAAAATTGGTCAAACATTATCTGGTCTGAAGAGTTTAAGTTTTTGGATCTAATGAAAAATAATACTATTGGAAAAGAACAAATAAGTTATTGAAAAATCATTATATTAAATCTATAATAAAATTTGGAGATGAAAAAGTAATAATATGAGTTTACTTTATCTCTTATAGTATTAGCAACTTTTGCAAGATTAATAAAAATATAGATAATATATTATATTAATTAATTCTTGAAAAGAATCTTATGAATACTATTAAAGAATATGAGTTTGCTATTGATAAGATCGTTTTCCAATAAAACAATGACTCTAAATATATAGTTAATTTAATGAAAAAATGATTTAATAATAATATTATTATTAATATTAATATTTTAGATTGGCTGGTATAATTATTTAATCTAAATTCAATTAAATATTTATAAAATAAAATTAATCATTATCTTTAATATCTTTTTGAATTAATTTTAAGTATAAAAAACTTATAGGAAAAAATACAATTAATTTGGAAGAAAATTGATATAAATTATTATAATAATTTAATTTGTTCTATACTAAAAGAATTTATAATATAATAAAAGTAAATAACAATTATATTAGATAATAAATAATATGAATTAAATTATATTAAGTATAATCAAAAAATAAAAAAAAATAATATTTTTATTTTATTTAATAATTATATAAATTTTATTAAAAATTAAGTATATATATAATTATATATACTTAATTAAATATATCAATTATAATTTAATATTCTTAATTCTATATAAAAATATTATAATTCAACAATTTTTAATTATATATTGTATTACTTTTAATCATTACTATATATTTTTAATGCATTTTGAATTATTTACTATTTAATTTCAAATTTATTTTATTAATAACCAAAATATTTTTAGCAAATTTACTATAATTATTTATTATTATTAATAATAAATATAGCAATATATTTTGGATATATAATTTCAAATATTGAAAATACTTTATTATATAATTGTATTGTGATATTTTAATTTAGTTCAATAAATATTACAATTTGTACAAAATAAATAATACAACAAGTTTCAATAAGTATTATTTAAATTATTTTGTTATTTATATTCTTTATCTAATTAAAAATAATTAATTATATTATAACAAAAAATATTTATTATCAAGCAAAACTTTTATATTATAATAATTATTTTCTATTTAATATTCAAAAAGATTTTTTTTTGTTATTAGTATAAAAATATATTAATTATATTATAAAAATATATAAATTATTTGATTAATTTGATATTAAAAATCAAGTTAATTTATATATTCTAAAAATAATTGTTATTATTTTATAATATATTTTATATTTATATTTATTAAAATATGTTTCTTTTAATATTAATATTAATTTAAAATTTCTAATTATTTTATATATAATTTTTTACTAATTATTTTATATATTTTGATTTTAATATTTGATAAAATTATATTATAAACAAAATTATTAATTCAAATTTATTTCAATTCAAATATTAAAAAAACTAATATCAATATTTTCATTAATAAAAAGAGCTAATTTTCTAATAGTTTATATAATAAAAAATTAAATAGTATCTTATTTCAAATATTACTTGTTTTAAAATTATATTAATTATTTATTATATATATTATAATTAATAAATATTAAAATTAGACTATTATCTTATTATTTTATATATTCAAATTTTATAAGTTATAATATTATATAATATATTATAACTAAGTTTTGTATTTAATATATTTTTATAATTTAAGAAAAATTTAACATCTTTATCAAAAAAATTATAATTCAAATTTAAATTATTTTTAAAATTTGAATTAATTAAAATATAAAAAGTTAAAAATATTATACTTATTATAATAATAAATTTTTTGAAATCTTTTATAATATTTTTTTTATTGTAAACTATAAATTTAAAGTTCTAATATAAAATTAATTATTTTAAATATATTTGAATTTGTAATAATATTTAATATTAAACTATATATATTTTTTAATTTTTTTTCAAAATTATTAATTTAATTAATATTATTATTAAACTAAACTAGACAAAACTTTCATTTAAATTCAAAATTTGAACTAAATTCAAATTGAACTTGACTTGAATTCAAGAAATTCAAATTGAACTATTATATATATCTATAGTATATTACTGGAAATTTATATTGATTATTTAATGAATTAACTTTTTAACTTGTATATAAAAAATTTTATTGAATTTATTAAACAAATGAAAAATTTAATAAAAAGAAACTATCGAATATACAATTACATTAGTTCAGATTTGAAAATCTACAAATTAATATGATATACTTTTTTCATTGCTTCAATAACATTGTCTATATGTCTAAGTAGACTCACAATTAATTTGTGCAAAGTTTTTAGATCAATATTCATCTATTTCTTTTAATTAATTCTTGCTTTAATATAGGCAAAGATCTTTTTTTGAAGTCAATAATCAAAATATCCCACAGATATTTAATCAAATTGAGGTTAAAACTTTAATTAATCTATTCCCTTTTCATGTAACATTGATCAGTGTCTTCTATGTAAATTTTGGAAACTAAAAAAAAATTAGCACATGTACCAATATATAATATTACACAGTGACTATCGTTAAACTGAGGCAAAAAGACTTTTTTATCGACTTAATTAAGACATTAATTGTACAATAATTTATAATCGAAACTCCTTTACAAAACAAATATGGCTTAATACAGTTCTGGTTTAATGAGAGTCACTATCAAACCTCTCTATAGTCACATCCGTTATATTTTATAGTTACTGTATAACAGTTAATAGTTAAATGGTGACTATAAAGAGATATAACTATAAACGGTGTGTATTTCTTCAAGTCTTGTGAATTATTAAATTGTATAAGAAATATACCTTTTACTTTAAAAATGAGGTATATACATTTAGAACTATTTCTTAGTTTATATTAATCACGAAAGATAATCAAATACTACCCATGGTTCACAACCCGTTTATACCATCTAATTGCTTCATGCTTATCTCAATTCACAGTGAATTCAAATCTCGAAAGGTTTAATCGCGCAACCGAACATGAGTTCTCTGCTGCTTTTAAACCCAAGAGAAAGCTTGTCGTTATCGCGTTTTTATTAACAAATCAGCTCAACGTATCTTAGGAACTCCAATAACAGCTTCGGTAGCTTTTCTAAGCCAGATTTCAGCTTCTTTATCTTTGAAATGAGACAAAGCGTAGAGATACATCACTCCACAATTACCTCGAGAAGCTGCTCCACTCCGAACCTTTATTTGCGGATTCCTGGGATCTTTCTCTTAATAAATAAATGCTATTGCATATTTGGCAATAGAAAACTTTTGGTCTGCTTCAGCTTGATACATTCTCAAGCTTTAACTTGTACCGATTCAATAATAATGAACTTGCGTAAGTAGCAGCTCTTAAATAGAGTTGTTGAATAGTAAATATTTAACAACTCGTTTTTCTTATGGTAGAGAATTTAGAGTACGTAACCGAAATATTTCTGTCATGTGATAAATCGAGTATGTCCTGTATAAAATACTACATGTAGTTGTTTGTGTCACAACAGCATGCGTTTGCCCAACGTTACTTATTTATGCATGTACATTAGGGTCAGCATTAATATTATATACCATTGAATCGTTATCTTTATATGTTCAATAAAGCAATCAACAATGATGGAATTTATTACTTTTTTTGATCAAAAATGTGTAATCCTTGAAAATGAAAATAATCAAGCGTCAACATTGGTGAGAATATCGATGGAAATTTTCCATATTATTGAAATTTCCATATTGACTGATATCATAAAATCTGTTTCTATAGCCAATTGAAACTGCGAAATCAGAAATGTCTGAATGCTTGGAGAACCGAGCAGAAAAGTCCGAGGAGCAAAGTTTGATGACAGATGATAATGATAGTAGCAATAAAATTGCAAATCAAGTTCTCCGGATATTTTATCGAGCAATTAAACGTGGTGAATATTTTGAGAAAATGGTCACAGGAATTCATAATCACCTCAACGAAAGTAATATCAATCAAGTAGACTTCTTCAAAGTATTGTCATTGGAAATAGAAAATCTTCCTGTGACCTTCTCTGACAGCAATAATTGCAATGATAACAATAAAATAACCAACGTCTCATTATTACGCAATAATCTGTTCTACTGTCTATACGGATTCTGTTACGAATTCGGGATAGGCACACAATTCAACAGTAAAATAGCCTTTGAACAATTCAAAATCGCTGCCGAGAATAATTGTAAATATGGTGCGAATTTTTACGCTTATTGTTATCGAGACGGGATCGGAACAAGAAAAAATCCTGATTTGGCGTTTTATTGGTATACGAAATCTGCAACGAAAGGACATACAACGGGGGAATATAATTTAGGATATTGTTATGAGAAAGCAATTGGGACTGTTAAAGATCTAAAGAAGTCCTTCTACTGGTATCAAAAATCAGCTTTGAGTGGTGATTTGGTGGCACAATTTAAACTCGGATATATGTATAGAAATGCAATTGGTGTGGAGAAAAATGAGGAAAAAAGTTTTTATTGGTATTCTAAATCAGCGAAAGGTGGTGATACTGATGGTCAATGTAAGTTTGTAAATTTAATTTAATGGTTACATTAATTTTTAATAATAACCGGAATCACTTTTACGATCAAAGGTAATTTCGGATTTTGCTTTGACAAAGGTAAAATTAGATTTCTTTTGTGATAATATAATCTCTTTTCTATTTCTCATGATTTTTTATCTCGCTTAAAGGAATCGGGACTACTGAAGATAAAGCACAAGCATTTTACTGGTATACAAAATCAGCAGAAGGAGGAAATTCTCAAGGACAAAATAATCTAGGTTAGTATATGTATTTCATATTTACTGTGATAGGTCAAAAAAAATAAAAACCAACATCGCTAAAATCACAACAGGATATTTCTACAAAAACGGGATTGCATGCACAAAAGACACACAAAAAGCCCTAGAATGGTACAAGAAGTCCGCAGAAGGCGGTAATGGAAGTGGCCAATGCTCCTATGGCTATAGCTATTCAGTTGGCCAAGATATTCCCAAAGACTATCGGAAGGCTTTCTATTGGTATCTAAAATCCGCAGCTAATGGTCATAGTCAAGGGAAACATTACCTTGGTGAATCGTATCGGTTTGGACGCGGAAATGTACGTGATTTGCATGCTTCGATAAGGTGGTATCGAAGCGCGGAAGATGCTGGAAATAATATGGCGTCTAGTAGATTACATGGCTTGTTTATGCGGTGTAAGTAAATAGAGGGGAGTTGTTATAGGTTTCATTAAAGTAATCTAGACATTAATTATATACATGTATTTTGCTATTTATCTGTTTGCTATTTTGAATTATATAATGAATAAGAACAATTGAATGACTTAATAATAAACCAATTCTATTATCTTTCCATTAAATATTACCCATTTTAGCTGATAATATTTATAATTGATGCATTAATATAACACCTAGTATACATATAGATCTTGTGTTTTTAGTTGTTCTAATATAATTAAAGAGCGAAATTAATTCAATAGCAAATCAAATTAAATTAAATAATTTTTATATTTGAGAAAAATGTATAAATAGAGATGCTGTCTGAGTCTTAACTTGCATGTTGCAAATGAAAAAATAAAATTTTCTTTTAATAAAAATTTTCTTTCAAATAATATTTGCATCTTTCACTTTCTATTATACACATCAAAGCTTGTATACAAATGACTTTGAATTATATTGTGCTAAATAAAATGCTGATGGCTTTATATTATATTGTATTAAACAAATCGCTATTATTAACTTTGGGCTTTAGATCATATTGTGCTGAACAAATCATTATTAGCTTTATATTGTATTGTGAACAAATTGCTGTATTGGAATTATTAATTTTTGAATTTTAAGTATTTTAATTTCATTATTTGAATTTTTAATTATTTTGTTATTGAATATTCCTTACTTATGAGAACAAAGTGAAAGGATCTTTGTTATTTGTTATTACTAATTATTTTTATTAGTTTTGAAACATTATATATAAACCTCTTTATTATTTTCCTTTAAATTATTATATTCTTTCTCCCCTTTTTAACCTTTACTCTCCTACAACTCTTTCATATTATTACCCCTTTCTTAAGTAAATACAATTTCCATAGAAATTGACATAGGACTTAGACACCCTCTTTTAATATTTGTTTATCAGTTTAATACTCTCTCCCAACCCAGGTTTAGGTTTGTAAGCTAATTTAACAAACTTGTAACCATATCATGTTGGCTTTTCCTAACGATAACAATGTTCCGTATGTTGCACAAATTCGACAAGAATCTCGATCACCATGAAGTTTTCAAATTACTCGAGACTTATTCAAAATAATACGTAATTCATTGCTATGAACCCAAATGTTGAGTAACTTTGCATGTTTGTGAGTATGCAATCGGAACGGTCATAGAACAAAATAGAGCCTTTGAATATACGAGAAAGAGGCCAATTCCGGTGACCCACTATGTGTTAACCATCTTGGGTATATTTAAAATAAAGGTATCATTGTTCTTCAGAATAAAGAATTGGTGATTGAATTATTTAAGAAATCAGTAGTCCCAGTTGGTCAATACAATCTAGTTGCTGCTCTAAATAACGAATTCGGAAAGAACGAGCACATCGATCTTGCATTTTATTGGTACGGGGAAGCAGCAAAAACAGGACATCGAACTGCGTAACGTTGGTACTTAGGAGAAGGGACAAAAAAGGATTTTAAAGGCGCCTATCGCTATTGGTTTAGTAAATCTGCTGAAGCTAATGATCCGTTAGGTGCTTTTGTATTTTGGGCTTTGTTATGTGAATGGTGAATCAACTAGTAAGAATAAACATAAGCCATTAGGTTGTTGAGAAAGTCGATGAATGCGGGTAAGGACGTTTCTCGGCGCGTTTTGCGATTCGTGTTTAACAAAAAAGATTGGATTTGGGAAAATTATTTTAGAATTATTTATTATTCAATTTACCAATAGTTTAACCAGACCAGTCTATAAGTACGACTAAATTAGAGTAAGGTATGAGGGTTTGATTATTGATTCAGGAATCTGGATGCAAAATAAAGAGATAAATAAAAAACAATATAAATAAGAAGACAAATAAACAATAAGAGTGGGTGGATGGATTAATCTAATTGTATTTATCGACATAAAATAAAATTTCCCTCCAATCTATACCACTCTTCTAAATCGGCTCACTCTCCGAATCCAGTAAAATTTTTTAGATAGCTCCATCAGCCTGAAATAAATTATTGAGTCTGCGTTCTGCACTGCTATGATTATTAATCAATGCTTTTCGATACCAATAGATTGCGGCATGGACATCAACTAGTGTAACTGCTTTTCCCTGATCGTAGAATTCGCCTATCCTGTATTGCGCATAAGGGTCTCCGTCATCGGCTGACCGACGGAACCAGTAGAATGCTTTTTGTATGTCTACTTTTGTACCGAGTCCATTTTGATAACAATCTCCCAAGTAATATTCGCCTTTTATTGGGAAAATAAATTCACAGATATTCAGCAAAAAAATAAATTCGTCATTTTGAATGATAAAGAAATATTCATTACCTTGTGGATCATGTGCGAGTGCGGATTTCGAGTACCAATAAAAAGCAATGTTCGGCTCTGCGACTGTTCCAATTCCATTCTCATAACAATAAGCCTTTTTATCAAATTAAAAAAAAAAGAAATATCCCTTAAAATATCAGGAATCGAACCTCGACAACCTTCCATCTCAACTCACCAAATTATTTTGACCTCTCGAATATTCGCCCAACGCCGATTTCCCGAACCAATAAAAGGCTTCCTTGTCGTCTTGTTGTGTGCCAATTGACTTTCGATAACAATGACCGAATCCACACTGAGCATATGCATCGCCACTTTCTGCAGCTTGCTTATACCAGAAATAGGAGTGTTTGTAATTTATTTCAGTACCAATTCCTTTTTGATAATAATATGCTAAAGTCGCTTGCGCATCTATATCACCACCTCTTGCCGACTGCAAATACCAGTGAAACGCAATACCATTGGCTTTTCCCACACCGACACCTTTTTCATAGCATTTTGCAAGATTATATTGTGCGGCAATGCATCCATTCTCTGCCGAAACCCTATACCACGCATACGCGGCATCATCATCTTTCTCAGTGCCAATTCCATCTCGATAACAATGTGCCAACAAATTCTGGCTGTAGATTCCTTTCGATTTTGATCCGTTCAAGTATGAACTGAAAGATTTCTCGAAATTTGTGGTGGTTCCGATTCCATGCTCGTAACAGAAACCGAGCAAACAATGAAATTCGTCTCGGTCGTTGCCATTGTCGTTTGATAAAAGATCATTAAAGAATTTTATGGGATCTTGATGATGTTCTGCTAAATGCTCTTTGATTATTTCGATCATTTGATCAAAATATTCACCACGAAATAAAGCATCTCTGAATAATTGAAGAGTTTGTTCTACGAATGAAACTTGTTTCCCTGTTTTATTTTCTTTAATATCATTATTATTTATTTTTGTCGATTCATTAATGTTAATCTCTGATCGCTTGATTTCATCTTGTCTGTATTTATTGGTTGCAGTAGTAACAAATGAAATGCTCGTGTTGTTGGATATTGACAAAGAATTATCACCATTATTTAAATTTGCCTGTTCTTTATATGCTTTGACTGCTTTAAAATTATTTGTTGTCATTCTCTACCATCATCTTAGTCTTACTTAATGACATTACTATTGCTATTGTTTGATTAACGTTTAACGTTAATATCTTGTGATACCGTTACTATCCTTTGTAACACTTGTACGTAACGGAGCGGTACGTAGTCGTTCTCAAATTACTGTTACGAAAAAAGGGGTTATTGTAGATCTAACGTTAATAACGATAATACTACCGCTACATACGTATTTTATTGTGATATTCTTGTTCCTGATCTTGTTGATTTCTCCATAGAAATGTCTTCATCACAATTCTTCAAAGAGCTTACACTACATTTACATGAGCACGATGACGCAAAAGATACTATACTGAAATTAGCCGGTAGCGAATTTATTAAACTCGGTGATCCGTTATCTATAGAATTCGCAAAAAACCTCGATAATTCGGATGAATTGAAAGAATTACGCGAAGAATTTGTTATTCCGAAAATATGTGATGTCGTGTCGAAGGATTGCGGTGGGGAATTTTCAATTTATTTTAAATGAATTTCTTGATAAGTAGTTCAAGAATTAAATCAATGGAAATTCATAGGTAATAACGATAACATTAATCCTGATGAAGAATGTATATATTTTTGTGGCAATTCACTTGGATTATCACCGAGACGAAGTAGACAATTGGTTGATGAAGAGTTTGAAGTTTGGTCTAAAACGTATTCATTTGTTATTCATTTTTTATCCATCGTCTAAATAATCCCTTTGTATGAATTTACTAACACTTTTTCATTAAAAGTGGAGTCTTTGGTCATTTTCAACACAAATATAATCGTCCATGGGTAACTATCGATGAGACGGTAACTTCGCTAACCGCAAATCTTATAGGTAATCGATAATTTAACCAACTGGGAAATTTGGAATGGATGAATAAAATTAATAAATTTCAAATCTAATTTAGGAGCAAAACCAATTGAAGTAGCAATAATGAACACGCTTACCACAAATCTTCATCTTCTCATGGTTTCTTTTTATACTCCTATCTCGGGACGATACAAGATATTAATCGAGGATAAAGTTTTTCCGTCAGATCAAGTAAGTTCATTTGTTTTTGTACTAATATTATCGATAATTATTAACGATAAATTCTGTATTCTAAGTACGCCGTCGAATCCCAATTAAAATTCCACGGTTATGATCCTGCCGAAGCATTAATCACCGTCAAACCACGTCCAGGCGAATATACAATCGAGGACGCAGACATTATAGAACAAATAGAAAAAGAAGGAGAAAAGATTGCAGTTGTGTTATTGAGTGCCGTTCATTATTACAATGGACAGTACTTTGATATAGAAAAGATTAGTAAAGCAGCACACGAAAAGGTTTAGTTTGTATATTTCTTTTCCTTTGAACTATTTTTTATAATTACAATGTTGCGCTAAAATACGAGTTCAAAATTTCGCAGGGTTGTATTGTGGGGTTTGATCTTGCACATGCCATTGGAAATGTTGTTTTGAATTTACATGATTGGAGTGTAGATTTTGCTCTTTGGTGTTCTTACAAGTATCTTAATTCTGGTCCTGGTGGAATTGCAGGAATTTTTGTTCATGAGAAGCATGCAAATAATACTCACCCAAGGTAACTTGTGGCTTTTGAGCTCTTTTATTTCACCGGAGATTTAAGTTCAATTGCAAAATAAACTTAGATTTACTGGGTGGTGGGGACACGATAAAGAAACCCGTTTCGATATGAACAAAGGTAAAATGAAAGTATTAATTTCGTAAGATTTTCGATCCAAATGAAAATAAATTTGATCATATTTCTATTTATTAGAATTCAAACCAATTGAAGGAGCAGCAGGCTACCAACTATCCAACCCTTCCGTCTTAAATACGGTATCACTGCTGGGCAGTCTCCAAGTATTCGCAAAAACCAGCATGCTTACACTCCGAACGAAATCTTTTCTTCTCACTGGATATCTGGAATTCCTAATCACCGCAAAATTAAACCCGCACCAATATGACTACAAAATCATAACTCCACGTGACCCACGCAGACGCGGTGCACAACTCTCAATTCTTTTGATTCACGAAGAACAATTCGAGCGAGTGTTTAACGGGTTGATGGCGCGTGGTGTTGTTGTTGATGAACGGAAACCTAATTGTATTAGAATTGCGCCTGTGCCGTTGTATAACACTTTTTGTGAAGTTTGGAAATTTTTGGAAATTTTGAAAGATGTTTTTGATAGTTGTATAGAGTTTAAAAGATAGTCCCGAATTGATTGGATTTTGATGCTAAATATATCAACGTTATTTATAGGTTTGTTGAATGATTACGATTATGCATTTTTGCCCTGTAATAGCGGCTGGAGATGTTGGCAACACCAACAATCTCGTTAGTAATTATTGGAAGAGTTACAACGGTGTGAGAAGAATAATGGAGTAATTCAATCTACGCAGCCAGTGCCTCTAGATACTAACATTCGCAGTAATGACTGTGCCGAGTTACTATCATAAGTAGAAAGGGCAAGTATCCTGGTGGTATTTGTGGGTGGGAACACCTAGGAAATCCAGAAACTGGTGCAGGTAAAGACGGAATTACATTTTTTCCTAGTCATCAATCATCTGTACTTGATTTCTCGTTTTTGGATCAAGTAACATCTAGGAAAACCGGAATTCCGCCACTACGTAGTGTAATTGCCCCTTTCTACCTCCGGATTTATTATAAATCTGGTTTTATATAATATTCAGTGTAAAATTTTCTTCAGTTTTCATATTAATGCCAAATTTAAAAATAATCCGGATTTAACTGGTCCAAGAACTGCCAATGCTGGTAGCTGCTCGGGGTGCGAGCCTAGATCTATTTTATTTTATTTTATTTTATTATATTTATTTTTGTTCTTTCATTTGTAAAAAGTTTCGGAGTAAATTTTGATTATAAATTATTCTTGCAACTACTATTACTGCGTTCTATTTGCATTAGATAACTTGATGGTGTCTTGGACACTTTAAAGACGATATAAATGTTAACTCATAGCAAAAATCGGATAAAGTACATGTGCGCACTCTATAAATGGATAATTAAGGTGACGGAACTAGAGCTCCGAAAGAGCCGAGTCAAGCCAAGTTTGAAATTGGCTCTAATTTGACTCTAGACTGCATTGTTATTCGTATTGCGATTATATTATAGTCCTTTTTACATTACTGAAATTCAAATCGATGAACATATATTTCGTTATTATTATAATGAATCATTAGAGAAATACTTAAAGTTTTACCAAGTTTCAACAAGTCATAGTTTATACACAGTTTTTTCATTTAGGACAAAGTTCCTAAACTTTATATAGTAGATTTTACATTTACAGTGACTTCCATAATTATTGCACATTGCACTACAAGAAATTTCATGGAAAAGAATTTTAACGCCTCTAAGTTTCTATGCTCATTTTAAAGCTAGTAACCTAGAGAATTTTATTTTAGGGGGACCGTTAAAACCATGTACCCACGTGACACGTGTTTAGTGTTAGGGTCGGGGCTAAAGTTAGAGACAAGATTATACGTAAATTTCTTCCAACATTTTTAATTGCTCAAGGTAGCTTTAAGTCTGTTTGCCGTACCATTTTGTTGTTAGTGAATTTAGTCGATCTCACAATTTTAAGCGGTGTTATCTTTCCAAATCTATGCAATACATGTACATGTACATGTATATGTCAAACTCTATGCGGTATGATACGCATTTTCAATTCTATTTTAAGTCTAATGCAGTGTCATATACTGATACGTATCAAATTCAAACTTCTATTTTTCGGTCAATTATATCTTGGATTCTTTCTGAAACAATGTCCACAATTATACCTTAATTTCTCTCTTAAACAATATCCTTAAATTATAGCTTACATTCTCCCTTAAACAAACACCTTTAATTATATTTCGCGTTCTCTCTTAAAACAATGATTTCTATTACCCCATTATCTTTATTCTATCTTGTGTTCGATCTTAAGCATAGTATTAAATAGAAAGCAGCGAAAACGTATACATGTATATGAAAGGCCTACGGGCTTCAATAAAATAATTGTCCTTCGTATTGTTCGTTATAACGTTTGATCACTTGAATGATTTAATTTTTTGTTCCCTAGTCAACATTTGCGTAGATCGCCATCTTCAGCATAAACCATCATTATCGAGTATTCATTTATGGCTGGGTTGCTAGTTATTCCATAATATGTAAGACTGCGAGTGCACTTCAGAGCAATCAGAATCTAATTTCGAAAAAGTTAATTAGATTGAAAAACAAAAAAAAGCGATATGTTTACACTTTAAAGGTGTTTATTTTACCTCGTTTATAAACTCGAATGTAATTTGCTTTGAATTGTGTAATGATTTCAACACAACTTCCCGTTCTCCCTCTCGTTTAAATTATTTCTTCATGATCATTTCTTACTCAATGGTCCGTCCAAATTGATCCAAATCCTCCTTTGCAAGATATCGATATTCAACATTGGTAAATCTTTCAAAAGGGATCCGTTCGAAAGATCTTGTTTTATCAATATTATTATTGCATTCATTTATTTATCAGACTGTCGATTATAACATAAATTTGCTTTTTTTCTCTCTCATTCTACAACACAATAAATAACTCCTCTCTCTGTGTGTGCCTCTGCATAACCAACACTGCCAAAAACAACAATAACTCCATGTGTTCTGTTTTATTATATTCCTCTCACAATTACTACTTTTCTTTCACTCTTTCACTCTTTCTACTTTCATTCTTCACTACTACCAACAACTGGCAGAATCCCAGAAAAACAATCAACTTTTCCAACAATAGCTATCCCCATCTCGCATTTCCGTCATTTCGACCACCTAGCATATATGAACATATTAGCAGCCACATATTATCTATTATTTCATTGTTATTATAATTATTATTCATTTTTATATACTTGTAGTTAAGTAATAGAAGCAGCAATAGTAGTATTGTTGTGGAAAAAAAACTTTTCTAGCATTTAAAAACACCATATTTCGAACAACCTTTCTTACCCAAGTAAGAGTAAGAAGAGAAATTTTTTTCTTCTGCTCACGTCCCTTCCCCCTTTTTTTACAAAATGATAATTTATCTTTTGTATTATTCTTTACATAACACACTTCGGCACTGGAATAGAGAGGGCAAGATACACCTCCTTCTCCTTGGCGTCCTAACATGAATGCTTTATTTACGTGAGAAGCTCCAGCCCGAAACAGAAAGAAGATCTTGAAAAGCAGAAACAGTACCTCCTCTCACAATTCCCAAAACATCACCTCATCTCCGATATCGGCTCCAGCGTTATCTTCAAGAGACCCGGACTGCGTTCCCTAGTAGAACGATCGAGTCATGGACTGGTCAAGGAGATTGTGGTTGCCCACAGAGACAGGCTCTGTAGGTTTACTTTCAACTTCCACATTAATAGCACAAGGCTCGTGGTTCTCTCAAATGACAATCCAACGGATGAATGGGAACTATCTCAGGATATCCTCGCCATTAACCTGTCCTGTATTATATGGAAAGCGATCTAAGTTATTTATTTGCACTTTCTTTCATCTAAACAAAATTAAATCACTTATTTTTTTTAGATACAGACTAGAACGGAAACAAGACAAAAAGCAAAAAAACGTAGGAAGAAAGTGCAAACAACGCGACGAGTCAAGAGAGCAAAGAAAGCAGATTTGATACGATCACTGAAAGTACGAAGGTACCCAATTCTTCACAGAAGGTCTTGCTTCGAAGTGGATGGGTTGTGTTAGATTGGTTTACAACATGGTAGTAATCAATTACCGTCAGCATTATAGAACTACAAAGCAGTTTTTTTCAGAGTGCTTTTTCGGCTGAAAATTAGATACACAAAAGAATGAGCGTTTGTGAAAAAGGAGCCATATGAGGTGCTTGATCATGCTATTTCAAGTGTTATACAGGCAGAGGTGAAGTCATTGCGAGAAAAAGTCAAGATCCTTACAACATACTTCATCTTGTCTCTAAAAAGGATGACCACCAAACTTACTATTCGTGCCCAGTACTGCCGTGAACCACTTTTTTACCTAAGGGCATCGATTTCACTGGCGCCAACTTTTGCCGTAAAAATCTGTTTCTATTGCCAGAGTAAAACGGCTATTATATAATAAGGTTCTTCTTGCTAGTGATCTGGATATCCATGTTACAAAGGTTTAGCAATGCCACCATTTCATCACGAACTTCGAAGATACAATCATTGTTGGCCGAATGATACTGGAAAAGTTACAATGGACTCGAAATTAACATACGAGAGAAAATTAGGACGTTGAACATTTGTATGGGTGTATGGAAAGTCTATCCGTGAGAATCAAGCGGAAGAAATCTATGTTGCAGCTATTGATCCTGGTGTCCGAACTTTTCTCACATGGTATTCACCCACAGTCGGCTATGACAATTTCGGCGACAATGATATTAACCGTATTATATGCCTCGGTCTTTCTCTGGATGCACTTATTCCACGCACCACTAGAGCACCAGCAAAGAAGCGTAACTCTATAAAATGAGTTCAAGCTTGCTTAAGAAAAATGCATCTTAAATTTAGTGGATGAAGTACACAAAAAAACTGCATTGTGGTTGGCTTGTACTTTTGATATAATAGTATTGCCGACATTGATAGCACACAAATGTCACGACTCCGACAAGGAAGACTTAATAATAGGACAATTCGGAAGAAGATGAGTTTGGCGCATGCGAGATTTAGGAAACGATTGGTATTTAAGATGGAAGACTTTGGTATAACGTCGGTATCAGAAGCGTACACAAGCAAAACGTGCAGTTATTGTGGATACATTAAGAGTTTAGGTGCGACGCATGTGGGATTCGGAATAATAGGGGTCATCATCTTCATCGGATTCAATATTGTATTGAGCAACAAGCATACCAATGTATTAATCAACTTCAGAAATTAATTAATCTGAAATAGTTTATTTTCACATTTAAAATACTTTTAAAACATATTTTTAATTGTGTTGTTAATAATGCTTTAAATTGTTTTTGAAACGCTTTTAATAATGTTTCAAGTTATTTGAAAATAATGAAAATTGCAAAGAAAGTATTGTTTTCCGATTCTTTTCATCTCGTATTAAAATACTAGCATCAGTACCAAGTGACAGATGCGGTATTGCATCTGACGACTAAAAGAAGCTGTTTACAATCAAGTTTTTGGGTAAATTTATGTTTCTTAAACGAAATATGCGATTTTCGCATCTGTTTTAGACCGGAAGAAATATATATGACTTTAGGTTTTTATTCATTATTTTATGGTGCAGGAACTCTTAAATCGACAACATATTACCGAAAATTTCAAAAATGAATTTTCACTTTTGGTCCCATTCGAACAAAGATGCCACCATTAGATTCGTATAGTCGATACGAATCTAATTGTGGCATCTTTGTCCGAATGGGACCAAAAGTGAAAAATTCATTTTTGAAATTTCCGGTAATATATTGTAGGGGTGTGTATGTTTCATGTTAAAAATTCTATCAACTTATTAACTAAGCGGTAAGTACAAAATTTAACCAGTAATATTATAGAAAAGGACTTTCTTGATACTATTACCAGCCGGTTAAATTTTGCATTCAAGTTGATAGAATTTTTAACATGAAACACATTATAACGATAATAAATTTACAGACAAAAGTAACAGATCCCTGAAACTTTTACCAAGTGAAGAGTAATACATGTACAAATGTTGCGCTAAAGCGTTGCAAGTCCGACGATCTGTCCGAGAAACAAGCCAATAAGAATACGTAAATTTTTGATTAACCTGGCGCGAACGTAAAAAACGAAAATATATTTTTAATTTATCTTGGAGCACCAATTAAAAACGTCGGGGAGGCAATTTTACATATACTTTAGCCCTCCACTCTAACTCTAACCCTAACTCTAACGGTAAAATCAACCTTTAACTGTGATCAAACACGTATCACGTGTTCACAACGCTTAGCTCAGTGATTTATTTCGTCAAAAATGCAACCATTCAATTCGTCGAGTCAAAACAAATTGATTGGTGTATAGTATTATTGTACGAATCGGATCACTGGATGTTGAGATACGCACCCTATGCATTACATGTATTTTGTCATTAGCGTTAGGAATTGATCGCCAAAAAAAATAAATCGGAGGACGGATTCATTTTTTTTCATTTGTACAGTCGCCACAGAAAATAACGTCCGATTTGGGGTACCGTTAAAGCAGAGTAGTTTCCAGCCACGATTGGCGCCACATAATCCGGTGATCTGTGGCATGAAATTAATAGCTTATAATAAATGAATTAACTAAAAGATTGTGCAATAAATATTCAAAAGTTGAAAAGAGAAATAATGATGAACAAATAGAGATATTTATTCTAAACTAAAAGCCTCTTTAAATCCTATTTTTAGTGAGCTTGATGCAATTTAATTTTATTATAATTTTTTGATTACAATTTTTTGATTATAATATTTTTGATTAATATAATCAAATCTCTATAGTCACATTTATTTATAGTTACACATCTCTATTATCACCTTATTTTGCTTTCCTATTTATATATAAATATACTATAATAAAAAATTTCTCTATAATTACATATTCTTTATAGTCACCAAATTTTGTTTTTTCAAGAATGATAACTATAAAGGAATTTGGCTTATTATTTAAAATGCAAATTAAAAAAGAGTGAAAAGAAATAATTCACTTTGCTTCCATTTAATAATTTTTTTGATCAAACTTTTTTTATTGAAATTGAATTTAAAATAAAAAGTTTAATAATTACACATTGTTAATTGTTATTCATTATTTTTATGTATTGTTATGCTTAAGCATTTTGATTCTTATATATTGTGATCCTGATATATCATAAATCTTATGCATTATTAAAGTATAACAAGTGAATGACTGATTGATATAAAGTCATGATATTTACCTAGTATTTGACATCTATAAAGAAGTACAATTTACAAGACCAAATAGTATTCCTGAATAGTGTAAATTTATTGTTGAAAAATGTTGGAATTCTATTCTAGAAAACAGATAAACTGTTGAGAATCTTTAAGTGTTCTTGTCTTGTCGCAAGAATCTTTTCATGGCATAGTTTTTGACCAATAGTGAGGCTCGATGCCATGTGATTAATTCTCGTGATTTTATACGTTACAATAATCTGATTGGTTGGTGATTAAAATTTAATTGACTAATGATTGTAATGACGCCAATCGTGGCTGGACACTACTCCGCTTTAACGGTACCCCCGATTTGGATGTGCAACATCAACATAAATTTAAATGTGGCGTTTTCCCTCTTTTTGTTATTGTTGACTGCAAATTTTTTTATTTCTTTCTTCGACTTATAAACATACACTGGGCGAAATTTGTTGGCTGTAAATATAACCAGTTGACCGACTTTGACAAGGGTAAAATGGGTCATTTTTATTGGAGTTTTGAGTGTCGTGCAGGTTGCAAGAAAAATGATCCGAGACTCGATGACGGGATAATGGTTTCTTGCCGAATACAAGAGAAATAGGAAAAAAGAAAATTTACCAGGGTATGGAAGGTCACAAGCTCTTAACAAGCAAGAAAAAAAATGCATATTTACAAGCCAAAAAAGATAACCTGAGCCATTTCGTGGCATTGTCAACAAAAAATCTTTGTAAAAAATTACCCGAAGATTCTTTAAGGTATTATGCTCATTAATTTGAAAAAATATGGTGTTTCAGCTTGAATCTAACCCTAACCCTAATTCTAAAAAGATCACGAAATAGGAATATTAATGATTATGAACCAATTAACGTATTCTCCCAGACCTGGCTTCATAGAAAACATCTAGAAACCATTGTAAAACAATATTCTAAAGTGTAAAGCTTTTCAAAAATTGTGAAGAAAGTGTAGTCCAAATTTAATGTGTTAGTTTGGGGAGGATGTGACCTCGATGCCGTAAAGAATCGAGGTGATATTGAAGCCATATAGAGGTGGGTAATGTATTAGTTAATGGTAAAAAAAATTATATGTATATGTTGTGCCTCAGATCACAATTTGCCTCAGATCACACTTCACGTGCTCATTTTCGGCCCTCTCCCAGTATTAACGTTGATCCAGACCCTAAATCTAGTAATATCCATAACTTAATTTGGGCTGAGTGTGATCTGAGGCACAACATATATAAAGCAGCAATGAAATAAATCGAAAATTTCATTTTTTAAAAAAATCGAGCGATACTTTTTTGGAGTACTGTTCGTAGTTGATTTGCCAACAGATAATTATTACCATATACGTATAATCATTACTACAGATTGTCTTCCCATGTACGTAATATGAAAAGTCATATTTTGACACTATCACTATACTGTGCATTAGAATTAGGGTTCGTTATGCAGTTTAAACCAAAAAAAAAAAAAAAGAACAGGGAAAAAATATTGCACATTTAAAGAAAAGTATATTTGGCAAAAGGTTAAAAATTCAAATATGTACAAAGAAAAAGAAAAAACCCCGGTTTAAGTCAATAACATAATACAACTACACGATGCTACGCTGATTGTGTCTTGATCGCGCCATTTTATGTTCACCTTTGACCGCTGCAATAATGTACATTAAAGATGCAATGAAAAGATAAAGAGCCGGATTCACATTTTGGTAATTCAGAATCGAGATCATTGATATAGGTATGTAGAGGAATAAACGGGGCATATAGGAATATGTAAGAAAAGTGTTTTTGAAGGGAAAAATGGGATATTCGATTCCTACGATTACTACTCCAAAGAAACTATTGTTTGTGAATAATATTAAGGTTAATTCATTTATAAAAAAAGAAGTTTAAAAGATGAGGGGTAAACTTACATCGACGCAATCGCCAAGACATTCAAAGGATTAACGAATTTATTAAACATTCTATGTATTGAAAAAACAATTTTTATTAATATTAAGTTTTTTTTTAATTCAATTAATATTATTACTTACGGAGTTATCATGTTAAACATTGCGATACGATAAAAAATACCAAAGATGCCACCTATCGTCTCAACTATTCAAGAGAAGCTAACATGAGTAATTGATGAATGCAAATTTAATATAGTAAACATAGAATACGTACAAACACCAGCTGTAAGAGCAATTAGGTTGGCCCACTTGTTCCAAATAGTTTTACCCATTTTTTGGTTTATTCGATTTCAAAAAGGTTGTATTTATATAAGAAATAAGAATTCTAATTTGTTGTATGCCGAACAACACAAACTAAAGATAAAAGTGATGGTGTTGTTAAATATTAAAGTTTGGAACGTTTTGCTAATCTCGATTTCTATTTCAATTTCTATTTTCTGAGTCCAGTCAGAATTACAGAAAAAACTGTCGTTGTCGTTGTCGTTGTTTGTATTTAACTAACCTTTAGACATTGAGCAAAATAAGCTCAACTTGATGATATATATCTAAAATGAGTCCTTTTATTATAATAGCATGTGTGAAAATTAATTGCGTCTAGCGTCAACTGATGAATGATCGATCAAACGTTATGCTTCATTGATGGTCTAACCGATTTCAATTGGATGAAACGGGAGAATGAGCTAAATTGAAAATAGCCGGGAAAAATAATAATTAATGGTAAAGTTTGAATGGAAGAGATGGTCTGATAATGAAAGGACGCAAAAAATCGGATAGTGGATTAAAATAATATATCGTCGTAACGTCCAAAACTAGTGAATATGAGAGCGCAAACAAAAAATTGTGTTAATATAGACAATTAACACGCTACACAACTTATTCATGTCATTATTCTCTTTGAATTAATAAACGCGCGTGTTTTATTAAAAAAATTATAGCGGAGTGACAATCATGAAATGCAAGATTAGCAGAATAGTGTCCATCACGATGCAATGTCTCAGCGTGAAACAATTTATATTAACTTAATGTATAATAGGTAATAATGATTCTTTTTATGAATACAGCGTTAGATAATTTAATTTTAAATTACCATTACCGTTACGTTGCATTTTCCGTAAACTCTGTTTTTCTTCCAATCGTGTATCAATATGCTAATGATCGATCTATTGCATTAAAACTGTGTAATTTAACCCAGCCTTGGCTATTTAACAGAGAAAGATAGTAAATTAGTTGCGAGTATTAGGTGTTGTTTTCGGAACCAGATTTCCCTTTCGGAATTTTGAAATGCTAATAATATGGCCATCCGAACGAACAACTAGAATCTTTTATTCATATTATCGTTATGGATAAACATAGCTCATATTAGCCATATTAATTTCTTCCGGAAAAAAAATGATTTTTTCACGTTTTATTTTATTGATTGCATACAGTCAAACTCCGATATAGTCGCCATTTAAGCTATGAACTGTTATGGCGACTATGGGCGTGACTATATCGGAGTTTGACTGTATGTTGATATTATATATCAGTAGTAATTTTTCTTCAATAGTACTATGGATCCGTATAATTCTTTTTCAATATAAGCAAGTGAATAAACACTAAATTTTTTTAAATAAGTTCATTTCGGGATTTTCTTTTTTATAATACATGTAATTTCAACAAGTTACGTAATCTAAAACTTCAATAAAATTTTAAATTATCAATTAGGGAGTCACACAAACATTATAACTAATTAATTAATTTCATGCATTTTACCGATACCGATACTAATACTGTATAATTAAACAGTCGCGTTATAAAGATTTCATTCTCAAATCGTACAGTCGAACCTCAATATACCGATACTCCGTTATAATGATAACTAATTAAAATCTCAGTACAACGATGACAACCCAAAAACACACTGAATAAAAATTTCCATAACGAGTTTTTCGCTCAATTGAAATTTTTTACCATAGAGGTTTGGCTGTATTCACACTTATGATGTTAGAAATGCAAAAGGTAAAATGATCGATTTCGCGAGACAAAGATTAAATTAATGTCGTAATTTTAACGTTAATTAAACTAATTATAATTTAAGGAAACGTAAAATCGACTTTATACGTATTTTATCGCTATCGTTACCAAAACGTATTATGCGATACGTATATTTTGGGAGAAATTTTTAACTGTTATCGTTTCAAAGTTGAATCAAACAGCTTCCGAATGTTGAGTTTTATGATTTTTAGAATAATTTAATTTGTTTAATCAAGATTTTATTGCGATAGCTAAAAGTGAAATCATAGTAATTTACGGGGTAAATTGAAGAAATTGCTATCCTACAAAAGAGTTTGAAATTGTCAAAAGTCCATGATAACTGAAAAATTAAGAAATGCATCTAAATTATTATATGTGTGTGTGAAAAAGTCTGTTCAGACGAATGTGCGCCAACGTAACATGATTCTTCTCTGCAGCATGGGACCAAAACAACGATTGATGAATATCTCGTTGAATCCCAATTCCGTATTGATAACATTTCGATAATTGCCATTGACTATTGAGATGCCCCAATTCCGCCGATTTTCTAAACCAATGAATCGCCAACCGTTTATCATTATGAAGAAAAATTTTTGCAAGACAATTCATTGAACGCGCGTCACCGAGTTTTGAAGCTATTGTAAACCAATTGATGGCTTTACCGATGTCTCTTTCAGTTCCAATAGAACGCTTGCAACACATTCCACAACAAAATGCGGCTTTAACATGTCCATTCTTTGCGGCTTTCGAGTACCAAAAATATGCAAGTGTCGAATTCGTTGCGATTCCCGTCCCTTTTTTGTAGTGCTCAGCCAAGTCGAATTGGGCATTTGAGTAGCCTGCTTGTGCGGTTTTTTTCAATAATTCGATAGCTTTTGGCATATTTACTTCATTACACCCAACACCGGATTTATAGCAACAAGCTAATAAATGTTGGGCGGGAAGAAAATTCTTTTCACTCGCTTTAAGAACCCAGCGAAAACTCTCTTGGAAATCCGATACAACGCCGATTCCGTTAAAGTAATAAACGCCAAGTCTTGTTTGTGCGACTACATCACCGTTATCTGCGGCAGATTTTGTATAATGGAAAGCTTTCTGTTTGTCAAGATCACAACCGATTCCATTAAAATATAAAAATCCAAGAAACGAATGATATTTCGATTCTCGATACTTTTCGTATATGGAATCGAACAGAAATTTCGCGGAAATCTCGTTAATGACTATCCATCTTTTCAAAGTGTCGACGATATATAAATTTGATGCGAATTTCTCATTCAAATCATTGAAAATTTTTAATGGTGTGCTCAAATCTATAAATGCTGAAGTTTCTGTCATCTTTTGGCAAAATTAGATGATTTACGCAAGGATTTATAACTTTTCGATAGCTGCGCCGCCTCTAGTGATTGTAATCAGTTGACAATAACAATTGATACCTTATTTATATCTGAAAATAGCATTTATACCTAAAAATGGCAAAAACCTGTATGAAACTAGACTGGAATTGTGACGTTATTTCTAAAATGTACTAGACATGATGTAATAATGTAGCTATTTTTAGATGATTTTTTGATGTAAAATTTACTAAAAAAAGAAACCATATAATAACGTCTACTTCCCAATACACCAACTATTCTGATTTAAAAAAAATGCAATAAATAACACCATGATATCACTTTTTTGTCTATAAATATGATACGTAGTTACTTAACAATACTCAATAGAATTATTATAATTTTTTTTTCAATTTCCATTTTTATGAGTTAAAATAAGAATTGTTAAAATTTAAAGCTATTATTATTCAGTTTTAAATACAGTAGCAAAAGAAATGCAATAGTGTCAAAATTTATTAATAAAACATAAAATATGGATTTTTTTCTTTATATAAAAGTTTTTTGTTTTTATATAAAAATACAAATAATAATTGATGTAATCTGAGAAAGTTTTTCTAATTGCAAAATAAGTTAATTAATTTTTTATAATTGAAACACAAAAAATTTTTATATTTAAATATAAAAATTAGTCAACTTACTTTGCAATTAGAAAAATTCTTATTGATTAAAAATATTATATTCTTATTGGACAATTGAATTCTTATAATTTATTGAATTCTTATATTTTAATATTATTATTAAACTATTTTTAGAATTTTAGTTTGAATTTCAATTTTTAATTCAATTTCTATTTGAATTTTTAGTTCAAATCTTAGTTCAAAATTCAATGTAACTTTTATTTTTATTAATAGTTTAATATTTATCAATTATCTATAAAAAATATATTTAAGCTTAGAAATAATTAATCAAGATTTTTAGTTAAGAAAGTTCTTTAAAAAAATTAATAATTAAATATAAAATTAATTTAATTTCTTTTATTATTTAGCAATTTATCTTAATTACAAAATTATATTTATTTTAGTTTGTTTATAATCTTTTGTTTAATTATAAAGTTATATTTATTTAATTTATTATCTTAATTATAAATAGTATTTTTATAAACTAGAAATAGAAATTGATTTTTAATTCAAAATTGATTCTAAAATCAATTAATAATTTTAATTGATCAATTAATTAATTTTCAGTTTGAGAATCAATTCTCAAAATTAATTTTTATTTTTATATTAAAGTTGTTAAACTCTATATTGAAAATAATTTCTTGATTATTATCAAATACTAGAATATTATTAAATAACAAAATAGATTATTATATATAAGAGTGAATTATAAAATTTATTATATTTTTTACAAGTAGATTTTCTTATTAGTTTATTCTTTTTAATAATTTTGTTACATTATTTATATATATTTAATTAATTAAAAAATTTTAATCAATTTTAAAAATCGATTTCCTTAATTCTAAAAATTAATTTTCTTAATTTTATAAAATTAATTAATTCTAAATAATCAATTTTTATTTTTTTCATAAACTAAATCAACTGAATCTTTGTTTAAATTTGAGTCTAATTCAAAGTTTAAACTAAACTTGAATTAGATTTTTAATTGGATTCAAATTTTTGAATTGGACTTTTGATCATATTCTAATTTGATTTAAGCTTAAATTAAATTAGACTTAAATTAAATCGAACTCTTTTTTTCAGAATTCTAATTAGAAAATTATATTGAATTAATTTAATAAATTGAATTATTAATATTTTATTTATTTATTTATAAAATAATTATATCTTTATATAATTTGAAGATATTGAAAAGATATTTATATATTATATACTTAAAAAATATATAATAATAATATAAATAAAAATTTATATTTTATATAATTTATATATCTCTATATTATATTACTAAAAATTAAAAAAAATATAGTAAATTAATTTGTTTCTTTATAATAAAATTTGTTATTTTATTAATAAATATTTTTTAAAATATTCTAAAAGAATATATATTAAAAATATAAATTATTATCTTTATTTTAGTACAATTATAAAAAATATTTATTAGCAAAATAACAAATTTTAATATAAAGAAACAATATTAATTTTATTATATTTTTTTAAGTTTCAATAATATAATATAGAAGTGTATATAATTTATATTTTATATATTTTATAAAAAATTCTTTAAAATAATAATTCAAAAAAAAATTAGAAAATTATTCAGATTTTTTCGGAAAAAATTTGGAAAATTATTTTTTTCTAAAAGTATTTAAATAATTTTTTGAGTTATTATAAATTTTTTCAGAAAAAATAATTTAATATTTTTATAAACTATTATTTTTTATTAATTTAAATTTTAAAAATTTATTAATTAATTTTAATTTAATTATAAAATTATTATTTTTTTAAAAGAATTCAGTAGAGAAATAAAGGAGAAAAATATAAATTTCAAAGAATTTTGATTGGTTAAATTATATCTACTCAGAATAAATAAGTATAAAAGTAGAAAAAGTATAAAAAGTATAAATATATAAAAGTATAAAAAGTATAAAAGTATATAAAGTATAAAAGTATAAAATAGAAAAAAGTATAAAAATATAAGAGTACAAGATAGAAAAATAAAAGTATACAAATATTATAATTAATAATATATAAAGAAATTGTGAAATATTCTAAGTTCTTTATATAATTTTCATAATTTCGTAAAATATTACAAATTATAAAATTAACAAATTTTATAACATAATTATAACATTTGTATTCTCTTTGAAAAGATTAAGCTCCTACAAACTTATTGTGTAAAGTTCTTGATTTCTCAATTTCTCATTCAATATATTTTTATTGATATTAATTCTAAGTTAAAATTCTTTTGATCTATTTCTTTTTCAGAAGAAAATATTTGATAAGTTCTTCTAGCAATCATATAGTGACAGTTATAAGATTGAAGTTTGAGTTCTCTATTAATTTTTCTTTTAATTGCTGATAATAGTCTTTGATATTGTGCTAGAACATTGGCTAATAATTGTTCAACTTTAAAATATTGCTTCAATATTTTACTATTACTCATTTGTCTTTTTAAAGTCTTTTCAAGTTGTTCTTTTAATTATATTGACCATTTATCTTCAGCTAGAGGACTTACAATATCCTCTTCTCAACAAGTTAAACTTGTCATTAAATTCATATTTAAAATAAAACTAAATTCAGTTTCTTCTACAGTTTGTAATAGGTCTACTTCAGGTGCAATATCTAGACTTACAGCTAGTGGATATACAAAAGATTATAATCTTTGACTGAATTTGAGGTTAATTCTATCAAAGAAATTGAATGAGTTTTCTCGAGATTATCATATAAAATTATACTCATTTCTGAGATAAAAATACTTCCTTGTTGTTAATTGATAAGTAGATGGACTATAAGTTGAATAAGTAAAGATCACATAGCATTATTAATTCAATCTGGTATATGAAACATAATATATATACACATTAATTTAAAAAGGAAAATGGTCAGTGAATAAAATTTAAAATAATATAGTAAATTATTAAAAACTTTGAGAGAAAATAAATGGGTTATTTATAATAGTTAAATGTGTTACAACACAATTTAAAAGAATTTTATCTAAGAAAGATTTGTAGAGGATCGATATATTCTATTACTACTTTGAGTTCAAATAAAGTTTGTCTCTCATAATATAATTTTAATTGTGCACTATTAAATGTTTTCTTGAATAACTGTTCTTGTTGATTTCATAATTTATATGCTCCATTCTGATAGGTCTCATAAATGTAATGCCATTCTTCTTTTTATTGTAACTTGAATTTATTTTCATATTCAACATGTCATTTCATATTATAAATTAGAACTTGTCTCCAATTTCAAATTGTTCTATTTTTTGTATTTTTCTATTATGTCTTTCTTTAGATTTTTCTTGTAACAGATTAATATTTTATTTGATATTATTAATTTGTTCAGATAAGTAATTAATAAGTATAAATATTCTATTTAATAATTATTCTTCGATTTTAACTTCTTTTTTAAGTGTCATTTCAAACTGTAATTTTATTGGAAATCTTGCTTCTCTTCCATATGTTAGAAAAAATAGTTCATGTCTTGTAGTATTATTTTGTAATATTCTATAAGCAAATAATGCTGCAGGAATATGATTGTCCCATTCTTCTTCTAAACTAATAGTGAGTTTTTGTAATATTATTGATAAAGTTCTGTTAAATCATTCTACAATTACGTTCATTTGTGAATGGTATAATAATAAGTATTTGTATTATATTCTAAATTTATCAGTGAGTTCTTCTATTATTTGTGTTGTAAATTCTGTTTCTTGATCCGATTGTAATATTTTTGGACATTCATGTTAACAGATAATTTCTTCAAAGATAAATTTCACAACTGTAATAGCTTCTTTGTTAGGTATCACTTTTGATTCAGATCATTCTGTTAGATAGTCTATTGCTATAATAATATATTGATTTTCTTGTTGAGTTTGTTTGCATGATTCAATTAGATCATGATATGAGCAAATAGTTGTCCAACTTTAATGGGATATAAGAGTTTTTTGAATTGTCAACTTTCAGTAAATTGGCATATTGAGCAAGATTTTACAAAATCTTTTATATCAGTTCTCATTCTATTTTATCAATATCATATAGCTATTCGTTGGTAAGTTCTATTATATTATTATAATAGTAATATAAAAATCACAAATTCAAAAATAATTGAAAAAATATAAAAATTTCAAAAATATTCATATAACAATAAAATCCCCTAGTATTATTTTACTTTTCATTATTTCAATTTTTATTATTTCACTTTTATTTTTCACTTTTTATTTTTCACTTTTCAAAAATTTCACTTTTTATTTTTCACTTTTT